TTTCAGTTACCAGTGGTCAGTGGTGGCATGGACCGTTAAAATTGCAACGACCGTTTACGAAAGGGAAATAGGCTTCGACGAGTGGGTAGCTAACAAAAGTGAAGTGAAGCAGAGGCTAGAATGTTAAATGTTAGGGTGACGATTAAAAGGAGCTAATGGGTTTAAATAACACGGCAAGTACAATAAGGCGCGGATGGGCAAACGTGAAGAAGATTAAAACTGATTGCAAATGTGGGTTTTTCAAAACTTGTTAGCAGCCTAAAAGATTTTCAAAAATCATCAGTTTTGTTGTTTACAACTTTTGATATAATGCTTAGGAGATTTGTCGGACAAGAAGTTGTGATTTTGTCATTTACAAGTGATTTCTTCTCTAACGTTAAGTTTCATAGTGAATAAGGAAGCGTAATTGGCAATATTAAAAAAATGAAGTAGACAGCCGTGACAGAGCCCATAAACCACGAGAGAAACATAAAGCAAATGTGCATAAGAATTTGATTACCGTGGCTATTAGTCACTCTATTATTCATCGTTCCCTCATCACACCATGTGACTTAGCCAGTGATGACGCGACTGAGAGAATCATGAAATAGTCGATCTCCCTAACATCTGAGGCTTATTTTCATGTTTTCCACCTTAAATTAAATAAGACAGTCAAAGTCTGGCATATATTTCTAGTCAAGGTGCCATTAACAAAAAACAAGAAGGATGATTTATTTCTCCCAAATCAGCAGTGTAAACTAAAGGATGTCAACCGCACCGTGACAGTGAGATTAGGAAAGGTAAGTACGTGGCTTTTTCAAGCATCATCAACGTGTCTCACACCAAATCTTAAACAGATAGGCTTGTGTCGTATTGAATTTAGTAATGTAAGAGTACAGCAATTAAGTTAATGACAGCTTTCATAATTTTGTTCAATCGCAAAAACGAAAACGACAAAAAAGGAAAATTGGATGGTTCGAATAATTTGAAAATCATGTTTCTCGTTTGACTAAATTAAGTAATATAAATATTTCAGCAAATTATCAGTGGTTAGCTTTTTGCCTCGCACTAAACAATATAATAAGAAGAAATGCTTAGAAGTGAAGATATACTCGTCGATGATTTCCCCATTTGAGGACAATATTTATTCAGTAGCGCGGTTTTCTCCATTGAAAGTAAACATGCCAATACTTGGACCCAATGCATATTTGGCAGCTGGATTAATATTCTTTTGTTTAAATTAAAATTAGCTTGACTAGCCTCGCCTGAGAAAGTGTATTCTTTTGAATTTTGTACTGAAGAACGAGGCTAGTCAGGCTAATTTTAATTTAAACAAAAGAATATTAACCCAGCAGCCCTTATTGCATTGGGTCTATAGATTTGCTTTTATGTTTGACAGGCATGACAGTTTTCTTACAAGCTTACACAATAAAAGCATTGATTTTATGTCATCTTTAATTTAGGATATTTTCTTTTCAAGAGAGCTTTTGTTTAACATTAAAAATTATCATAGCAGCTATTTTTCGAAGGGAGAGAAGCGACGACCGGAAATGCGTCTGCGCTTCGCAGGCTAAAATTATCATCGACTAATTCAAAAACTAATTCAAGTTACTTTTTCTAATCGTATCGCACTGCCATTTCGTTCACTCCGTCATCGATGAAATTCCTCTGGTTAAGATATTACCTCCCCTGCGAGTAGAGCCTCCTTTCGTCTCCTTGATCGAGTAGGAAAAGCGAGCAAGCGCGAAAAGAAAGGGTGATCTGCTGGCTGTGGCACGAAATTTTTACGGATTGGCGATGTTTTTGTGTTCGGGAAATAATTTTTGCGATTAGGACACAATGGTTTTTCTTGTAGAGAATTGATTTTTGCGATATTCAGCAAGTGCTCAGTACCCAGCATTGATAATATTTTCGTTTTTATTGAGTACGTACAATAGAAATACATATTTTCAAACAATAAACCAGTATCTCGTTCTACACCGTTTTGTTTCTGAATGACAGAGACAAGTTGTGATTGAACAGACACGATTTCTTAGTACTGTATTTTTGTGTAGCGAATTTAAGTTAGAGAATACTTACTCTGGAATAAATTTTTGCGGGAAAAATGTTTGCAGTAATTTATATTTGGGGGAACTGTTTTTGCGGATCGCTGGAAAAATCGCAAAGTAGAACCCGCAAAAATTTCGTGCCACAATTGAACACGGTATATATTACCAAAATCAAGGCGTCAAGACATTGATCATTGCTCCGTCTTTCTCTTAATAAGTTATCTAAGCTGATTTTATAACTTCTGAGTGGTGAATTATACAATGCAAAACGAAACTTTATATTTCTTAATTCTGATGTAAGTTCTATGTAACATGTCAACCGAGAGCCATTCCCGAAGAGGAAACGGGACCAATATTTGGGTACAGTTGTCACGATGAGCGTTTGAAAACCTGACTAAAGAATCATAGGCACAACAACCTTAATTTTATTATCCTGTTAACGATAAAGGAAAAAGATGCACGCCATTTTGTATACTTGGAGTATAAACAAATTTCATCTAGCAGATCAAGTCAATCATGTAGGAAATACCCTGTTGACAGACTTACCCGAAATTTATATACCCTTTTTAGGACAGACTCACACGAAACTATACTCTAATAAAGACTCCCAGCAAAAATAATCTTGACCTTTTTACGATTCCTTCGCGAGAGAAAAGCAATTTGTTTCAGTCGTACGGCAAATAAAAGCCTAGTTTTATCGTGTCTCTAAGAGTTTCTGCGTTGCGAGCCGTGGTTGCGGTGCACGCTAACCGTATCGACCGCTTTCTTAAAGAGAAAAGCCGCTAGATCTTCAGTATCTTCGTCTTTTCTTCTTCGTTTACATCTACAGCTAACATGGTTCTCGAATGCATAGCTTATATAATATGACTTTCTGTTTTCTTAGTGTTAACGTACGTATAGAGTTTCTTTGTTGGCTGAGTTTGATTGCAATTTGGCATGTCGGAAAAAAAACGTCTTTTCTTAGGACTGAAGGCATCAGTGAACACACGCACGGACTTTTTTATTTGGATAAAAGAGTAGCCTGCATTGCAGCCGGCCCGTGCACTCGTCCAAACCATTTGTTTAGGGTCTGATGGAAAAACACCAAAAAACTCATTGTCCTTTTTTTGTTGTGCAGAAAAAACTGTTAGCTATAAGGGGCTTACTCTCTCATATACTCTGTGCTTGTTTTGTTTTATTTTTCATGGCTGGAGAGATGCCCATAGCCTTTCTTCTTAACTTGAAATCAATGCCTAAACGAATTTCGCAAGACAATACAAATGGGGAGCAAGGTAAGCTTTACAAACAATGTCAAATTAACCAATGATTTGAGTAAGTATTCTAATCGATCTTACAAAATTATTATTGTTACTAGCCTGTTCACAGACCTAGTTCTCTTCTAATTTTAAGTGCGTCGATCGAGTGTACGTGATAAAAAAACAAAAATCGCGGGGGGCTTATTTTGAAAAGAACGGAAAGAAAAGTAAAAACTGACAACGTCTGTGTCCAGGATAATATCTTGAGTTAAATATCTTTACATCGTTTCTTCTAGACATTTTCTTGTGCTATATTTCATATATTTTATAGATATCGTACTTTATTTCTTATGTTTTGTAAGAGTGTCAGTAATTATTTCAATTTTGTCAATTTTTGAAGCAATTGGAAAACAGATATTTTTCGAGAAAGTTTCGAAACGTTAACATTGACCTAGTGTAGAGTAACTTAACGTTAATTTTACACGAAAAAAGGGGAAGTTTACATTAGTTTCAAAACAAGAAATCTTGACATACCTTTAACAATAGATAATGGTAGACAAAATAAACAATAGAAGCAATAAATATTAGATTAGATTAGCCACGAAAATCATTCACTTATCAAGTGTCTTGTGAGGGATCAAGAGCCACTGCTGGTAATCAGACTGGGAGAGAAGCTTTGCCCTAAATTGGTAAGAAAACCAGCCTGAAGTCTTCGAGTTCACATTGTCCTTCGAAACTAATTATTTTTCCTTTGCAGGTTGAGAGATTTCTTTCTCCGAAGATGTTTGGATCGTGTCCGCTATTTTTCCTCTTGATAATTGGCCTTTTACTGGTAAGATTGTTATGTCAGTGCAGCCTCTCACAAATTAAGACAATGTAGGGCTTCCTCGCGTGTAATTTTAACGTAGTTTTCGATATTACAACCAAAAGCTAGATAATTCTTGTTCTAGTGTTAATTGTTACACCTGTAACCGAAAAACGGCTAAAGAAAACTTTGAACGGCATTAATTCAATTAAACGTATAGGGACCATTAGAGTAATGGGTTATTAATTATTCAGTATATGTTTATGCTTTGTAGATATCAATACCGTCACTACAAATATTTTCCTAAACTTTCCCCGTTCCTTTTTTTGTGTCATCCTTCTTCTAGCTTTTGCTTGTAGTTTTCCACAGATCCCTGTGTAATAATTTCAACACTAGTTCAGTCCCTTTCAAGCTCGGCGTTTAATGTGCTTCTGCCACGAAATTTGTTGCCCACTGCCTTACAGATTTATCTGCAATTAATTTCTGTAGGGTGACGCAAGCCTGGATAATTCGTCGGTAAAACTTCGCAGCAAACGTGCCCTGTCATGGTATGGTAAATTTGGCCGAAACTCGTCTCTTAAAGACCTTGCTCTTGAGTTGGCAAAAAAGCATGTAAGTCTTAGCTGACGGCAGTACTTATTAGTACACCCGTCTGCACCTCTGTAATCACGTGTTTATGGCTCTTTATAATGTATAATGTCTGTGTACAATGTTTTTACGACGTCCTCAATAACCTGATCTCCCAAATTCGAGTCCCACTTCAGTATTTCCATCTGCACAGGTCTTAGCTCTCTGTGTCCCGTAAACCCACTTTACCCGTTTAGCGATAAAATTATGAACTCTCGCAAAAAAAAAAAAAAGCTTCCGCATAGATTTAAAACTTTGCTTCCACTTTTTCTTTCTTTTTCAACGACTCATGATCAGTTGCTCAAGATGATTATTGACGCGGAGAATGACTTGGATAAAACCAGGGACAGTCTTTGCCCACAACAAGGAGGTTTGTTAGAAAGAGAAGCCCTTCATCCTCTCTTGCTGATAGTTTAAATATATTTTGCCTTCCATTTGCGGGTTTCTGATAAGTACGTGGCAAGTTTCCTCTTCAATTAACTGCCATTTACAGAAAAGAAAAGTTACGCTAAAAATTAAAGCAGCTGATTATGGACTTAACTTTACTTAACACAAGTTTGAGTTTTATGTCTACCTTATGGTCGTCGTACAGATTTGTGTCCATTTTGAAGTAAGATTGTTCATATCAATTAATCATTGTCTTTAAAACATCCCTAAAACATTAAGGGCCTTTTGCATTAAAAATTCAACACCACACATACCAGAACCTTGCAATATTATTTTCCGTCATATCTAAGGTCCTTGACTTAAATGAGGGCAGTTTCGATAACTTGAGACTGTCAGTCTCCTCTTACTATGTTTTTGGTACTTTAGCATTTGCAGGCAGATGTACCAATATCCGTGCGGTTGGTAAGCCTGTGACTCATCACACCCGCAAGTCCACACAAGGAGCCTGGATGAAAGATCCGCTCGGAATCATGGGTAGTGAAACTATATTCGTAATGGAGTCATATACCGGAAGAGACGTGCTTGAGGAGTTTGAAAATATGGCCAAGTTTAAAGCTGGAATAACTCGTAAGACCTACAAACTTCCTTATCAGTGGGACGGAACTGGAGGAGTGGTTTATGGACAATATCTTTACTACAACAGGTTGGTAGTTGTTTCCCGTGTGCCACCAGCTAATAAAAAGTGAAACTATTTTTGGTAAAAGTCCTGTTGTGTATTTTCCTTTTATGAGAGCTCTCAGGCAGTCGTAATTGGCTAGATCTGCATTTCTGCTATTCCCATTGGACTTAAGTAGGTGAATTCTTTAGGTCAACGTATTAATCAAATATTCAAAACCAGCAAAATTTTTCTAGCCACATCGTATATTTAAAAATTAAGACCCAAATACCCGATGTTCTTCGGTAACTATTCTGCTTTAGTCATGTGAGGTGTTACCACAATTATGTAACTAAAATGGCCTCCTTTACTGTGAAACTCACAAAACCGTGAACACCAGAAATATTTATTTTGTTTATATTTGTGGAATGTTATTCTGTTGCGAGGAATTAGCCAATGAGGAGCGAGAAAACCAAACCGCAAACACCAACAGTAATTTAATAGTTTGTGGTTTTGAGGTTTGCTCGCATGTCCTGAACTTTATTGTGATTGGCCAGTACACAATCAACATTTCTGAAATTTTTCAGGTGTTCATGGTTTTCGGACTTTGACAGTAAGTAAATCCTGGAAAACTTTATATAAAGCCATTTTTTTTTTCTCTCCTTGCAAGGGCTAATACAAACTTCATTGTCAAGTTCAATCTGCGCTCAGGGAAAGAGAACGCCCAAATAAGGATAAGCGATTACACGCCAAGGAAAAACACATACGGTTGGGGTGGATACAGTGGAGTGGACTTGGCAGTTGATGAAAATGGATTATGGGTATTATGGGGTAGTACTGGAAACAGCTATCGTCTTTATGCTTCTAAAATCAATGTGCAAAAAAATTCCATAACCCATACTTGGAGTTTGGATACAGGTATGAGTACCTTAAACAGATTTTTAAGGAAAACAAATAGGTAGTCATTTGATGAACACTTAGCGTGGGCAGGGTTTTGTTTACAAGTGGCTTATCTTCTAAGTAGAACATTTTTTTTCAAGATTGGGTTGTAAGCCTTCTTGATCATGATTGTTAACAGCAAAAGTTATCAGATCAGGGCTGGCAAAATTGAGAACTGCTTTGCTTATACAGCCGTTTTCACAATTCATCGTATTAATAGGCCTCTTTTAAAACTTATTCCAACTTAGATCCATGTTAATACTGTGAGTTTTATTTCTATATTGCTTTAGAAAAGATGAGCAGTATGGGAAACGCGTTTGTAGCCTGTGGCGTGGTTTATTGTATCGACAACTATAGTTCAAAGTCCACAACCATCAACTTTGCGTACGACACCAAGACTGGAAAACAGTGGAACCCCAACATTCAGTTCACCAATCAGTACCGCTACAACTCCATGGTGGACTACAACCCCAGAGAAAAAGTGCTCTACGCCTGGGACAACACTAAACTGGTCACTTATCCCATCACCTTTAACTAAAATTAGGTTCGTTATGTGATAAGCAGGTGATGGGTTTTAAAATGCTCATAATATAACAAGGCTTCTTTATATGTCATATAAAATAGACGATGATAAGCTGAGTCATGATAGTTCTCTTTAGCAAGCAAGTTTTGTACCCCTTTCATCACAAAACACAAAACTACTCGGGCTTCAATACCCCCAAAAGGGGCATCAATGTTTAACTCAACACGATGACTCATGTTTCATCAATGATTCTGAAACCCAACTATACAAACCCCACAGTGACGACGGCTAATGATTCCCCATGTTATTAAGCTCACGGACAATTTTATGAAAACTATAATATGCGCCAGCCCTCAAATTTAAGCATGTATTATAGTGCTGCGAAATTAAGCTGGGGAGACGATCAGATTTGAGTTGTTATCAGAAAGACGAGTGTTGAAGTAAAAAGTGTCAACGGTATTTTTCATGATAAGAAGCAAATTCCTTAGAATTCAACGATAACTGCTAATATGATTGTTTTTAATCAGGCGAGTATAGTCTGAGGTTTTTCCAGATATTTACTGTTGGGTTTCAACTATTTCCTGAGCTTCACTAATTATCCTTCTTTCATTGTTTCTTAGCTTGAAAAAGAGAGAATAGTAACTCAAAATAAATAAAACCCACTTGTTGTGAAGTGGCCAACATTTGCATGCACGAGTAAAATTTAATTTTAACTGCTGTTAGCGCTAAAATGCTTAAATAAAGGTGAAAAAACGACATTATGGTCATTATTTTTGTGATATTTTATTGTGCGCAGACAACACTAGTTGATCTATTTTATGTAATCCTTTTTTGAGTTTATTATAATTTTCGACACCAGTGAAGAGAACTTATTTTGAATCTCCGCGCGCGTGGCGTGACCATGTTTTTAAGAGTCCATTCTAAGTTCTAAGTTCTATGGAGCGATTGATACAAACCCAAGGTATTTTGGTAACAAAATAATTAGCGGAAAATTCAAATTTCAAATAAACCTTTTTTTCTTCAGTGAATACAAATATTTGATTAATTTATACAGCTTTTCAGTTTCGAGACTCTCGCAAAAAGTTCTTAATTGGGCTACGAAAACCGTCATAAAATATCCGAGGAGTAACAATAAAACCAATATTTGCTGGGACATTTTTCCTATTCAAACCAAAAAAGTGATTTGTAGAAATAGGGTTAAAATAACCTGAGATTAGGTCCAATTTTAGCGGTTCTCATACATTCTCTCTAACGGCTACCGCTATTTCGTTTCGCCTTTCCCGCCGGAATGTTATTTTCAAAGCGAAACGAAAATAGAGCCTGATCTCAGGCTAGGGTCAAAAGTACACATTATAGCTCAGTCTAAAGACCGCTTAGTGGTTATCTGCGGTGTTGCCAACCTCGTACCCAGGGTGTGAAACGACCCTGGGGACGAGGGTGCGGTTTGCTTCATATCTCTTACAAAGTTTGGGAAACACGTTTAACGCAACAGATAAGTTATCCCCTTCTTCACAAAATCCAACCTATTATCATTGAAGAAAACACAAAAGTCGTATCACCCCTGAAGCAACAAGTATTCTCCTTGAATGCGTGCCTGTGGCTTCTATTCTTACCGTCAACGTTCTCTTGATTTGCTAGCTAGTTTGAAAGTTCAATCTTTCTCTTTCATTAAGACGTCAAACAAATATTCAAAAATTCTGGTTTTGAAGTGTTCCGTCAATGTGCTATTCTCTTTCATCATAAACTAAACTAGGTATACCTATCGATAGAGTGCCAACGAGCAAACCATGCGTATTTTGCTTAGGAATAAAATTCCTTTTTGTTTTCCCATTTGACCGTTTCTTGGTCCCTTCCTGTTGCAAAGATTATTTTCTTGAAAAGTTCTCAGATTCAGTCTGGTGGCTTTACAAACCTGCTATGTAAAAATGTGAAGTGCCTTGAAAGAATAAAGTCAGCTTTGCAGAGGAAGCGATCGGGAATATTATTAAGTCCAGCTACAAATCTACTGTCGGTTCGGTTTCACATTGTTGATAAATATTTGCACAGTTTAATCATTTAAACCTCCTTTCAAATTTCCCGAGGCTCTTTGTTATCGGTGGGGGGGGGACAGGGGGGTGACAACCTCCCGCTTCCCGTACCCCGTTCTCCCGCCTCCCGTACCTTTTTGTTCCTTTGTCTCCCGACTCCCGCCCTTTATTGTATTTTTCCCGTCATCATGTAAATTATAAAGATCAGAAGCCCGGGTTTAGTGTTAAAGCTGTAGGGTAATTTGCCAAAGATGAAAATTGTTACAAGTCAGTTTTCTTAGTTAAACTGAGTTTTCACTAATCTGGTTATCTAGGTTTGACCACCGCTTCGGACATCCCACTACAGCGACAATAGTCTCAGTCCACTGTGCAGTGTAATAGCTATTGCAGTCATCAAAGATGCATTAACATGCATTTAGGAATCCCGAAATTACGGGGATCATGCCAAAATGAAGTCGAAGGGCCAAACGTTACGGTAGAGTTCAGTACTCCTGTCTAGTTCCCAGCGTCTAATTGTACTAATTGCATATCCACCGCGGTTAGTTTTCGTTATTTTTCGTAAGAAGTCGTAAGCTATAAAAACTGACTTCAACGAGACAATAATTGCATGTTCGTTAACCGTTTGCATTTTAAAGCGTTCAGTTTAGTGCTGGTGGAGTATTATTGTTATCTGGTTATCAAATCTCAAACCTATTCATATTTGCTCGAGAAGTTGTATCTTTCATCAAACATCGGCGGCGAGGTTTAACGGTTATACATACATTTTTACATCGGAATGATGCATCTATGTCCGATTTTAACAAGAAGCATTTGAAGAAACGAATGCTCTGCTCTTATTGGCTTATTACAAGTTAAATAACAGGACAGGGAACAGGTTGCAATATGTGTAAAAAGTGCCCGTATTTTGCTACAGTAAACAAACTAGAAAAAGTCTTCCATACGCCGAGGAGGTCGCACTGATCTCCTCCTACTCCAAATGTTAGTTAGAGCAGTTAATTCTGCCTCCTCTTCCTCCGAGTCGAGGGAACGTTTCTAAAATTACAGTGCAAAGTGCTAGGAAATGACACCTACCGTGCAGTTCGTAATCTTTTGTTATTACTTTTTCTTTGTTATCTATGAAGTCCAACCGGACAGTGTCCCACGCTGTTTGACTTCCTATTCTAATAGGCAGTGCTTTGGCCTTATCCAAAACAAAAAATTGCGTTGTATATCTAACCACTCCGCACTCTCCAGCGCGATCAGTGAATTTGCATTCCCTGGACACAAGTTTGCACCACGCCGTAAAATCTTTAGTGTTTTGCAAACTACAATCGTACGGAGCGAGCTCGCAGGAAGGTCTTCCATGTACGGATTTTTCCACACCACACCGAAAAATACTTAGACCGATTAAAATGGTCTTTGACGACATTTCATGCACCTATCAATGTAATGCCGGTGGGGGGAGGCAGGGCATAGGGTGGGGATTTGACTTTTTTCAAAAATTTGCAATCAAATTCCCTGCCCACGGGCAAATCATTCCAGTCAAATGCAACCAAATTTCCCCACCCCAGGCTGCACATTGCTGTCAGTCCCAAGGCAGAACCTAAGAAAGTCAAAATAAAAATATCTCCAAATAAAACTCTGCAATCTTTTATAAACGTTGCTGCATCACCAAAGATACATGTTCCTGTTACAGCTGCAATTATATGTTTTAACCATAATCCGTGTCACACTGGGTAGAATACATAAACCTTTAGGAGAAAGTCCACATTTTGTAAGTCTAGATATACCGTTCTTAGTAAAGGGTACAAACAAAGTCAGTTTTATCAGTGATTGTAGCGAACGAGCCATACACTAATCAACTGTACTTGCAAAAATCGGCTCGGTTTCTCTTTACTTCCGTTTACTCTGATACCACATTATATTAACTGGTTCAATTGATCAAAAACACCCTAAAACAAACGAAATTTGAAGACAAAACAGTGAAGTCCACTCAGCCTTCGCTTGCTCTCATTGGCCTCCATGACTTCCTGATCTTTTCAAACCGTATGGCGCGTGCGTGAAGCGTAGAAGCGGGAAACACATGTTCGGTCTCAGTCTTTTTCGTGCGAGTCGGCAGTCAAATATCTCCACGTCGGGCGAGGAAAGATTCAAATATCCCCTCCCCCGGGAGAACAAGATCAGTCAAATGCCCTACCCCAGGGACAACAAAGACAATCAAATCCCCACCCTATGCCCTGCCCCCCCCCTTCGGCTTTACATTGATAGGTGCATTACCTGCGAGAAAGGTCAAACAGACGAGACACTGACACGACTTACACAGTCGACACACGTGTACATGTGTCACGCCACCTCATTCATGAGGACTCGTGACCTATGATGTAACCGACTTGGAAAGGTTTCCAATTTCACCAGAAGTAATGCTCTTTTTTCAATCCCGAGTGCGAATTTACGTTTTTTGACTTTACTCGCATTAAAATTTTGATTTAGGGCCTCGGAGAACGTTAAATGGAAGTCAAGAAACGTTGTTGAGTTCGTTTCTTTGACTGGATGATGAGCGGTAACAATTAACGAAAGCTTGCCTTTTGAAATTTCTCTCCCGCTTCCCGCCATCATAGAGATCCCGCTTCCCGCCCTTTCTTCTCCCGTCTCCCGTACCCCTCCCGCCCCCTGCTCTCCCGGGCTCCCGCCCCCCTGTCCCCCTCCACTTATCGGATTGAAACTAATGATTCGCTGGGCCATCTGAAATGTTTCCAAGGACATGCGATGTACGGCACGTCGGTATTTAATTTTAGTTCATTATTTTTATACTGAACTCGGCCACGTTTCGAAAAAAATGGCGTTGTTTTCTTTTCCTTTGTCGTTCGCTTTAGGCTTGTTGTTCGTTTTTGCTCTCATTGTTGTTGTTTGCTGGTTAGATTTTTTCCCCAACACCAGATTTTCCAACAGAAGCGATCGAATTCTTCGTGTCAAGCTTTCCTTATCTCCTCCTGTAATCTGATCCTTTTTAGTGGTGAGAATATTGCTTGCTGCACATAGAACACTTTTGCTGTTTTACAAACTTCCCATCGTTAAAACTAAAATTAGTAGAATATATCAAGTGCTCATGTCTCTTGAATGCGGTGGCCGGGTAAAAAAGTTAGCTAAATAAACACAGGAAGTCGCGACGGCGGGAAGTGTGTGAAATTTTGTTTGTTATTCAACTTGAGCCCGTGCGCCAGGTACTGCCTTTTGATTGGTTCACAACTGACCGCTTGGTCTCAGGGGAATCTACATTACATTGGGTTACACTTTTTTCAGCTCGATCGAGAATTTTTCTGCCTATTGCCCAGTCTTGTGCGGCTCTATTCTGCTGCCGCCTCGCCATCCGAGCGTCTTCGCTCGGATGGCTCGTTGGCAATAATGGTAATGGGAGGTAATGGGTTTATGATAACCGTCAGGAATATAGAGACATTAAGTGACCACTAAGCCCACTATGAGAAAGTTGATGTAATTGCTCTAGTTACAGTAGTTGGTGTAGTAGCTGTTGTTGGTGTAGTAGCTGTAGTTGGTGTAGTTGCTGTAGTTAGTGTGGTTGCTGTAGTTAGTGTAGTTGGTGTAGTTAGTGTAGTAGCTGTAGTTGGTGTAGTAGCTGTAGTTGGTGTAGTAGCTGTAGTTGATGTAGTAGCTGTAGTTGATGTAATTGCTATAGTTACTGTAGATGGTGTAGTAGCTGTAGTTGGTGTAGTTAGTGTAGTTGGTGTAGTACCTGTTGTTGGTGTAGTAGCTGTAGTTGGTGTAGTTGCTGTAGTTAGTGTGGTTGCTGTAGTTAGTGTAGTTGGTGTAGTTAGTGTAGTAGCTGTAGTTGGTGTAGTAGCTGTAGTTGGTGTAGTAGCTGTAGTTGATGTAGTAGCTGCAGTTGATGTAATTGCTATAGTTACTGTAGATGGTGTAGTAGCTGTAGTTGGTGTAGTTGCTGTAGTTAGTGTGGTTGCTGTAGTTAGTGTAGTTGGTGTAGTTAGTGTAGTAGCTGTAGTTGGTGTAGTAGCTGTAGTTGGTGTAGTTGCTGTAGTTAGTGTGGTTGCTGTAGTTAGTGTAGTTGGTGTAGTTGGTGTAGTAGCTGTAGTTGGTGTAGTAGCTGTAGTTGGTGTAGTAGCTGTAGTTGATGTAGTAGCTGTAGTTGATGTAATTGCTATAGTTACTGTAGTTGGTGTAGTAGCTGTAGTTGGTGTAGTTGGTGTAGTTGGTGTAGTAGCTGTAGTTGGTGTAGTTGCTGTAGTTGGTGTAGTTAGTGTAGTTGGTGTAGTAGCTGTAGTTGCTGTAGTTGGTGTAGTTAGTGTAGTTGCTGTAGTTGGTGTAGTAGCTGTAGTTGGTGTAGTTGGTGTAGTTGCTGTAGTTGGTTTAGTTGCTGTAGTTGGTGTAGTTGCTGTAGTTAGTGTAGTTGGTGTAGTTAGTGTAGTAGCTGTAGTTGGTGTAGTAGCTGTAGTTGGTGTAGTAGCTGTAGTTGATGTAGTAGCTGTAGTTGATGTAATTGCTATAGTTACTGTAGATGGTGTAGTAGCTGTAGTTGGTGTAGTTAGTGTAGTTGGTGTAGTACCTGTAGTTGCTGTAGTTGGTGTAGTTGCTATAGTTGGTGTAGTTGCTGTAGTTGGTGTAGTTAATGTAGTTGGTGAAGTTGCTGTAGTTGATGTACTTACTGTAGTTGTTGTAGTTGGTGTAGTAGCTGTAGTTGGTGTAGTTAGTGTAGTTGCTGTAGTTGGTGTAGTTTATGTACTTGGTGTAGTAGCTCTAGTAGGTGTAGTTGGTGTAGTTGCTGTAGTTAGTGTAGTTGGTTTAGTTAGTTAAGTAGCTGTACTTGGGGTAGTTGCTGTAGTTAGTGTAGTTGGTGTAGTTAGGGTAGTTCGTGTAGTTAGTGTAGTTGGTGTAGTTAGTGTAGTTGCTGTAGTTGGTGTAGTTAGAGTAGTTGGTGCAGTTAGTGTAGTTGCTGTAGTTGGTGTACTAGCTGTAGTTAGTTTAGTTAGTGTAGTTGGTGTAGTAGCTGTAGTTGCTGTAGTTGGTGCAGTTCGTGTAGTTCGTGTAGTTGCTGTAGTTGCTGTAGTTGATGTAGTAGCTGTAGTTAGTGTAGTTCCTGTAGTTAGTGTAGTTGCTGTAGTTGGTGTAGTAGCTGTAGTAGCTGTAGTTGCTGTAGTTGCTGTAGTTGGTGTAGTAGCTGTAGTTGGTGTAGTTAGTGTAGTTGGTGTAGTAGCTGTAGTTGGTGTAGTTGGTGTAGTTAGTGTAGTTGCTGTAGTTGGTGTAGTAGCTGTAGTTGGTGTAGTAGCTGTAGTTAGTGTAGTTCCTGTAGTTAGTGTAGTTGCTGTAGTTGGTGTAGTTGCTGTAGTAGCTGTAGTTGCTGTAGTTGCTGTAGTTGGTGTAGTAGCTGTAGTTGGTGTAGTTAGTGTAGTTGCTGTAGTTGGTGTAGTAGCTGTAGTTGCTGTAGTTGCTGTAGTTCGTGTAGTTGCTGTAGTTGATGTAGTTACTGTAGTTGCTGTAGTTAGCGTAGTTGGTGTAGTTAGTGTAGTAGCTGTAGTAGCTGTAGTTGGTGAAGTTGGTGTAGTTAGTGTAGTTGCTGTAGTTGGTGTAGTAGCTGTAGTTGGTGTAGTTCGTGTAGTTCTTGTAGTTGCTGTAGTTGGTGTAGTTGCTGTAGTTGATGTAGTTACTGTAGTTGCTGTAGTTAGCGTAGTTGGTGTAGTTAGTGTAGTAGCTGTAGTTGGTGTAGTTAGTGTAGTTGGTGTAGTAGCTGTAGTTGGTGAAGTTGGTGTAGTTAGTGTAGTTGCTGTAGTTGGTGTAGTAGCAGTAGTTGGTGTAGTAGCTGTAGTTAGTGTAGTTGCTGTAGTTGGTGTAGTTGCTGTAGTAGCTGTAGTTGCTGTAGTTGCTGTAGTTGCTGTAGTTGGTGTAGTAGCTGTAGTTGGTGTAGTTAGTGTAGTTGCTGTAGTTGGTGTAGTAGCTGTAGTTGGTGTAGTAGCTGTAGTTAGTGTAGTTGGTGTAGTTGGTGTAGTTGGTGTAGTTGCTGTAGTAGCTGTAGTTGGTGTAGTTGGTATAGTAGCTGTAGTTGGTGTAGTTGGTGTAGTTGCTGTAGTTGGTGTAGTTAGTGTAGTTGCTGTAGTTGGTGTAGTAGCAGTAGTTGGTGTGGTTAGTGTAGTAGCTGTAGTTAGTGCAGTAGCTGTAGTTGGTGTAGTAGCTGTAGTTGGAGTAGTTAGTGGAGTTGGTGTAGTAGCTGTAGTTGCTGTAGTTGGTGTAAATAATGTAGTTGCTGTAGTTGATGTAGTTACTGTAGTTCCTGTAGTTGGTGTAGTAGCTGTAGTTGGTGTAGTTAGTGTAGTTGCAGTAGTTGCTGTATATGGTGTAGTAGCTGTAGTAGGTGTAGTTGGCTTAGTTGCTGTAGTTAGTGTAGTTGGTATAGTTCGTGTAGTAGCTGTAGTTGGTGTAGTAGCTGTAGTTGGTGTAGTTGCTGTAGTAACTGTAGTTGCTGTAATTAGCGTAGTTGGTGTAGTTACTGTAGTAGCTGTAGTTGGTGTAGTTATTGTAGTTGGTGTAGTAGCTGTAGTTGGTGAAGTTGGTGTAGTTAGTGTAGTTGCTGTAGTTGGTGTAGTAGCAGTAGTTGATGTAGTAGCTGTAGCTAGTGTAGTTGCTGTAGTTAGTGTAGTTGCTGTAGTTGGTGTAGTAGCTGTAGTAGCTGTAGTTGCTGTAGTTGCTGTAGTTGGTGTAGTAGCTGTAGTTGCTGTAGTTGGTGTAGTAGCTGTAGTTGCTGTAGTTGCTGTAGTTCGTGTAGTTGCTTTAGTTGATGTAGTTACTGTAGTTCCTGTAGTTAGCGTAGTTGGTGTAGTTAGTGTAGTAGCTGTAGTTGGTGTAGTTAGTGTAGCTGGTGTATTAGCTGTAGTTGGTGAAGTTGGTGTAGTTAGTGTAGTTGCTGTAGTTGGTGTAGTAGCTGTAGTTGGTGTAGTTCGTGTAGTTCGTGTAGTTGCTGTAGTTGGTGTAGTTGGTGTAGTTGATGCAGTTACTGTAGTTGCTGTACACATACACATACTACACCAACTACAGCTACTACACCAACTACACTAACTACACCAACTACACAAACTACACCAAATACATATACTACACCACATACACATACTACACCAACTACAGCTACTACACCAACTACACTAACTACACCAACTACACATACTACACCAACTACACGAACTACACCAACTACACATACTACACCAACTACGCAAACTACACCAACTACACATACTACACCAACTACATATACTACACGAACTACACTAACTACACCAACTACACATACTACTTCACTAAGTACACCAACTACACCTACTACATCAACTACAACAACTACACCAACTACATATACTACATTAACTACAGTACCTACACATACTACATCATGTGCCAATTGTATGGGATGTTTTCACTTAAAGTGTGTGTACCTGAAATCAATGGTGAACAACTGGCTATGCAATAGATGCGCATGGGCGGCTCTGCCATTCTACAAGTGTTCGGATGCTGAGATGTTCAACGAGGCCTGTTTTTCGGATACTGATCTTGACACAAATAACATCACACTGACTGATCAGGGTGAAAATGGAACTACACCTAACACATTTACTGGTCCCGACCTACTAAAAGTGGCAAGGCAGAAAAATGCCAAGGGCATGTTATTATGTCACCTAAATATAAACAGCATTCAGAACAAATTTGATGAGCTGAAAGATATTATTATCAATAATAAGGTGCAAATTATGGCTGTCAGTGAGACTAAAATTGATCGTTCATACCCAGACTCCCAGTTCCTAATACCAGGGTACTACTTGCACCGAAATGACCGAAAAAAGGGTGGAGGTGGTGTTCTCTTGTTTGTCTCATCTAAGATACTCTCCAAGAGAGTCACCTTTGACAGGTGTTATAAGACTATTGAGCCTTTGGCCTTGGAGATTGGCCTCAAATCGAGAAATGCGATTATACTGGTTATCTACAGACCACCTAAGAAGCTTACTGGTAAATACAGACTTCTACTTGAGGAGGAATTAAGTCATATTGCCAACTGGGCTAGCCTTCAATATCCGACGGTTATAATAACAGGCGACCTAAACCTGAACAGGAAGGAACCCAGCAGCCCTGAAGGAAAGCTTCTTCTTGATCTTGAGGTGGAACAGGGCCTCAAATGTATGGTAACTGAACCCACTCGAATACAAATGAGAGGCTCTCTTATCACTAACAGCTTGATCGATGTTATTCTCACTAACCACCCGGAACTATTTGAGAATTGTGGGGTACATGATCCCGCGCTCAGTGACCACGGACTTGTTTATGGATTCCTGAATGAGACGGTAAAACACCAGAAAGGCAAGATTGTAACATTTAAATCTGTAAAGGATTTTGATGTGGAGAAATACAAAGAAGATCTAATGTATGCTCCATGGCATGTTAGTGAAATTTTCAATTCATGTGACGACAAGGCAAATTTTATGGAAATGCTTCTGTCCAGTATTGTCAATACACATATGCCTACGAAGAAGATGCGGGTAGGGCTCAGGATGTTCCATACATGACTAAAGAATGGAAAGGTGCCATAAGAGCTAAGAGGAGGGCAGCAAAAACGTATCTCAAGGAACAAACCAGTGAGAACTGGGAAGCTAGGCGGATAACCAGAAACGCGGCCACCCGACTCCGGAGAAAGGCAATAAGGACATATTGGAAAGAGCAAGCCACTAAGCTTAAGTGCAAGCCGAGTGAGTTCTATAAGACATTTATGCCCTTTCTGACTGATAAGCACAAGGTCAACACAAATGAGCTCAGCCTAAGTATCAACGGGACCATCTGCAGAGACCAATGTGCGGTTTCTAATCACTTGTGTGAATATTTTGCTACTGTGGCTGATGGGATTGGAAACACCAGTGCGGTTGATGACAAAGTTCTCGCCACCCACCCTAGTGTCCAGAATATTACGCAGAAGATGACAGGATAGCAGGGCTTCCAGTTTCAGAATCTTCAGAGTTTTGAAGTTGAAAAGGCGCTGCAAAACGTCAATGTAAGGAAGAGTACAGGCAGGGACGGCATCCCTCCCATGGCGCTCAAGCTTGGAGCTACTGAGCTAACAAATCCATTGACGTCACTATTTAATTCATGTATAACCCTCGGAGAGTGGCCCTTGGGATGGAAAAGGGGTGAATGGACACCCGTTTTTAAGAAGGACGATCCCCATGAAATGGGAAACTACAGACCCATAACTGTACAAGTTACTGTAAACAAACTCTTTGAACAATTACTCAGCAAGCAACTCAGTTATGGTTTTAATAACAAACTGTGCGACAAACTAACAGCTTACAGGAAAAACAATAGCTGTGAGACAGCTCTCTTATCTTTGACTGAGAATTGGAAATTCGCTCTGATGAGCATAACGTTGTGGGTGTTCTCTCCACGGACATGAGCAAAGCCTTCGATTCACTTTACCATCCACTTACACTTGCAAAACTTAAAGCTTATGGTGTTGAGGAAAGAAGTCTGCGATTGATGGGCTCCTACTTCAGACCGTTATAACAGGGTCAAGCTAGGATCTGTAGTGAGCGAGTGGCAGAGGGTGACCAGGGGATGCCCACAGGGTTCTGCATTTGGACCTCTCATCTGGAACATCTTCCAAAACGATTTGACTTATACTGTTGATGCGAACATGAATATGTATGCAGATGACCACCAGTTTTATGTCGTTCGCAGCACCCTCTCTGATGTGCATGATGATCTTGCTGTTTGCGCTGAGTCAGCATCTTCATGGTACAGAGCTAATTTACTAAAGGGAAATTTGGCCAAGTACCAGACAATGGCACTTGGTTGCGGAAGGAAGTCTATGGACAGTATTATGATTGACAATCATGAAGTCAGATCCACTGAATGTCTCAAGCTATTAGGTGTCTGTATTGATAACAATCTTCGTTTTGATGAACATATAAGTAGTATCTCTAAGAAGAGCGCCCAGCGGGTAGGCGTTCTCATGAGGCTCAGGAACCTTATACCCACACAAACTAAGTTACAGTTACATAAGGCAGCTGTTCTTCCGTATTTAACCTACTGTCACCTTATATGGCATTTTTGCCGTGCTAGTGATTCTAGACGACTAGAGCGTATCCAGGAAAGAGCACTTAGGGCTATATATTGTGATAAACATTCGTCCTATGGTCAATTACTATCTATGGCTGGGCTATCGACTCTACACAACCGGCGACTACAGGACATAGCTATTCTCATGTATAAAGTTAAAAACAACATGTGCCCAACCTACATTAGCACTCTCTTTGAACAGCCTGCAATTAAGTATGAACTGCGCAATCATGACTTCACTATACCCAGATTCAACACAGTCTCCTTTGGAAAGCACTCGCTCAGGTATATGGGCCAAAGGGTATGGAGTTCTGTTCCTAGTAACGTGAAAAAAGCTTCCACGTTGTCCTCCTTCAAATATAACATAAGAAAAGTGGATCTTAGCATGCTATTAGCTGACAATAACTGCTCTAACTGCTCTCTTTGCACTTCTTAATCTTTTATTTCTTATTTTTTTATAAGATAATGGATACATTTGTACATATTGTATATAATTCTCTCGAATTTCACACTTGCTTATACTGTACATAGTTTTTCTTAATTTTAATTAATTTATTAATTGATTTATTTTTTAAATTTATTTTAGTGTCCCCACTTAGTGGTTATACACCGCTATTACAGTCTTGACACTTTAATAAAGGTATCATCATCATCATCATCAACTACATATACTACAACAACTACACAAACTACACTAACTACATACACTACACCAACTACATATACTACATCAACTACATATAATATACTAACTACACCAACTACACCAATTACACTAACTACACATACTACACCAACTACATATACTACACCAACTACACAAACTACACCAACTACACATACTAAACCAACTTTATATACTACACCAACTACAGTAACTACACCAACTACATATACTACACCAACTACACATACTACACCAACTACAGCTACTACACCAACTACATATACTACACCAACTACACATACTACACCAACTACATATACTACACCAACTACACATACTACACCAACTACATATACTACACCAACTACACTAACTACACAAACTACACCAACTACACATACTACACCAACTACATATACTTCACCAACTACACATACTACACCAGCCACATACACTACACCAACTACAATAACTACACCAACTACACTAACTACACCAATTACACTAACTACTAACTACACTAACTACACCAACTACACATACTACACCAACTACACTAACTACACCAACTACATATACTACACCAACTACATATACTACACCAAGTACACTAACTACACCAACTACTGCATCTACACCAACTACAGCTACTACACCAACTACAGCTACTACACCAACTACAGCAACTACACTAACTACAGCAACTACACTAACTACCGCAACTACACGAACTACAGCAACTACAGTAACTACACCAACTACACTAACTACACCAACTACACCAACTACACTAACTACACCAACTACAGCAACTACACTAACTACACTAACTACAGCAAGTACACCAACTACAGCAAGTACAGCAACTACACCAACTACAGCAACTAAAACAACTACAGCAACTACAGCTACTACACCAACTGCACTAACTACAGCTAATACACCAACTACAGCTACTACACCAACTACAGCTACTACACCAACTACCCAAACTACACTAACTACACCAACTACACTAACTACACCAACTATACCAACTACTACACCAACTACACTAACTACACCAACTACAGCTACTACACTAACTACGCCAACCACACTAACTACACCAACTACACTAACTACAGCAACTACACCAACTACACCTACTACAGCAACTACACTAACTAGACCAACTACAGCTACTACACCAACTACAGCAACTACAGTAACTACATCAACTACAGCAACTACATTAACTACACCAACTACAGCAACTACAGCAACTACAACAACTACAGCAACTACAGCTACTACACCAACTACACTAACTACAGCTACTACGCCAACTACAGATACTACACCAACTACAGTGACTACAGCAATTACATCAACTACAGCTACTACACCAACTACAGCTACTACACTAACTACACCAACTACACTAACTACACCAACTACACTAACTACAGCAACTACAGCAACTACAGCTACTACAGCTACTACATCAACTACTCCTACTACAGCTACTACACCAACTACACCAACTACACTAACTAAGCCAGCTACAGCTACTACACCAACAACAGCAACTACACCAACTACAGCAAATACAGCTACTACACCAACTACACTAACTACACCAACTACAGCTACTACACCAACTACAGCTACTAGACCAACTACAGTAACTACAGCAATTACATTAACATTCTCATAGTGGGCTTAGTGGTCACTTAATGTCTCTATATTCGTGACGGTTATCATGAACCCATTACCTAAATAATTCACTAAATTCATACAAAAGGGTCTTACCATCCTGAAGGAGAGCCTGCGGGCTGCTAAAAGACCTATTGAGAATGTGATGAAAACTTTGACTTCGAATTCAGTGCGTGTCGGACATGAAAAGAGAATAAACAAGCTTTTACTGCAATCGGTGACAAAAACTGGTTGCGACACTGCTCTAAAGGGGCTTTCTGGCGTTTTACCGACCTCAAATGAAAGAGGAAAATAAAGCTTTTCCTCCCCGATCCCCTCCATGCAATGTTGTGCCGCTGTTCGAGCTACCTAGAAATTAAAACAAGAAACACCCCAACTTTGAATGGAGGGGAGGATGGAGGGGTGTGGATTCTTTTGTTCTCTGAATTGATCCTATTTACGTTTACGTTTAATTAATCAATTCCTGGAAGAAAAAATAAACAAGAACAGCCAAAGCCGGGGGCTTAAATGGCCTGAGGTCAGCAAAAAAAGAGAAGTGAAGAATTTACAGGAATAGAAGAAGGCTTTAACTAAAATAATTACAATGCAATTGGATCAAGAAAGAAAAGGTCAGTTAGAAAAACTTACAACTAAGTGCAACAACCTTGTCGCCGATTGTGGCCTGGTCTTTAATTTGCTCAAATGCCACAGACATGTAGAATTTATTTCGCCTTGGAGTGAAGCCTTTACTACCGACCATTTATATTTCAAAAAATATTGTTTAAGGATTGTTGCAATTATGGCTACTGTCTATTTATTTAAGTGAGCTGCGTGAAATTTTCACCGTTCGGGCAAATGGGCAGATTTTGTTGCGGTGCAAATGGGACACAAGATCAAAGAGAAAGAATTAAAGCCTCGTTTTCATATGTTGGGAAATTCCTACACGATCGGGGATTTTACTTTTTGCCGACTGTCCCAGACTTTACCTGTATATTGGATACTCTCTACTAGACTGTCTCAGATTCTCCCGATATTGAATTTGGCGGGAAATGGAAAGTGCGTCAAAAATTGAAACTTGCGTGATAGGGGGACTGGAGCCCAGATATTTAGAGGATTAGTAAAGAGCGAGATCCATTGCCGACGTCCCCGACGGTACAAATGTGAGTTTTCATTTATCGGGAATGATCGCCAACCATCGCAGAAATCTTGGATGCATCTGGAAAATAGAGATGCTCCCGATTCTCCAGATTTGTCCTTGATCATCCCAAACGACCGGGGATATCTATGAGTAGAGTTTTCATAAGTCGCCAAAATCTGGGACGGTCGGGGTGAAATAGTTAGTAAAATCGTCTAGGATTTTCCCGACATGCGAAAACTGGGCATAATCCTAAAGCCTGGTTTTCATATGTCGGGAAAAGTCCAGACGATCGGGGATTGGTTGGTACAGGGCTCGCAGAGTAAGACGCCATAACTGTAGACATCCATCTGTTTGAGAGAATTTGAGAGTTGCATTTACGTTAAACGTTATGGAAAGGGTTTGGGTTACCTGTTATTGATGTATCAGTTAAGAACGACAGTTTGCTTTTTTATGTACTTAAGCTTTTTAAAACTTTCAAGGGTCGGTATGGTAGTGTGCCGGTAAGGGAGAGAGAGTAGGATACGAAAGGTCCGGGTTCGCCGGTGGCTTGCGATCTTCTTTCTTTTTTAATAGAACTCGACTTTCAATAACAGGTCAAAACTTTTCAGAGTGTCTTAAAATGACAGCAACCCGTTTATGAAAGGGAAATTTGCCCCGCTGCCCCGAATTGAATGAGTAGCAGCTGGAAATATCGGCGATAACATTACTTTTCTTAGTATCATGAGTGAAACTGTCAATGGGCTTGATTAAAGTGGCTGCCCTTTGTACAGAAACTAATAACCAACGAGATGAACTTCTTTTGTCCATATGTAAATTATATTCTTCCGACAAGAAACTGTTTTCCTTGTCCCTTGGGCTCTTTGTTGCGTTTGGGGCACGTGGTCCGAACTGATTTGTGGCCGAAACGGCCTGGGTAGGACTATAGACAAGTATTCATGCATAAAAACCCCTGCTACATTTTTGTTTCTAAAATGGTTTGAATGTGGGAATCACTGCAGTTCAGCCTGTACCTTGGGCTCACATTATTAGTCCCAGACTTGTTACTGCTACACTAACACAGATAGTATGGAACAGCAGCTGGAAGTGGTGCTGAGCGCGACAAAAAAAATGTTGAGGAAAAAAATTGGATAGTTTCATGATTTCACTTTATTTTTATTTTACTTTTTCGTCGTGCTGCTCCACTTTCACTCCCTCTGCCACCCTCTTGTCTGAAGGCCTTGAACAGGTTTTTTTACTTCCGAAAATTCTTGTACAAATGGTAAGCAGTAGACTACGAGCAGTCTGTTATCGTCGTGGTTTGCCAGCGCGCTGAGATAAGAACGAGACGGATTTTAAGAGAAAAGGCGGACTGCAAGCAGTCGAGGTAAGCAGTCATAACGATTCCTTAGTTTTGCTTACTCTTGGTAGGGAAATCGCTCAAAGTCATTTTCTTGTAAGTATCATCTCGATTATTCCAACTCGAACAATTTGTAAAATGCAGGGGAGGTTTCTTCAAGACGGAATTCAGACTCAAACAGTTAGAAAACAATGTTGTTGTGAGTTCAAGTCCTTTACAAAACCTCGAATTTGGAAATTTTAAGTCGCAGTTGGCAGTGACGGAAAGAAATGTACCAAAAAGTGGGATGCACGTGCAGAGTTGTTGTTTCGAATATATATCAAACTTTTACAGTTTCACTGTCGTAACATCTTAGATTCCCCATATTGTCCTTCATTCAGTACTAAAATGTATCATGCAAAGATCTATCGGGTAGTCCTTCTAAGTACTGGCGGCAAATTAACGGTTTTTCACTCCTAATAAACACAGTGCTTTTTGTGAGGCGGGGTGGGGGGGAGGGAGAGAGAGATGGGGTGGAAGGGAGATATAATCTTACCTTTGGAGTCTGGCCTGAACTGCTTGCCTCCGGAGCAAAATAAAACGGATTCCCTGGATTTTCCGACATCTTGCTTCCCATGAATTCCGCCGATCCAAAATCACAGAGTTTGCCGCGCCACTTGTCTCCCTGGCGTCAAACCATTACGTTGCCGCTATTAACATCGCGGTGGAGTATGAGATCGGGTTGGAAGCAGTGAAGGTAATTGATGCCGTGAGCCACGTCTAGCGCGAGTATTCTGACGTATCTGTTACCTAAACTCCTCTCATTTTTCATGACTCGTACTGATGCAGGAGCCAAGTAACTAGATTAGGAGTTCTTGGCAGAAAATCTACCCATAATAAACGTATGCGACTGTTGGAAATATTAGTAGCAAAGCGATTTGCATTGAAACCAAGATCAAGTTCGTCCTCCAATACATTCTCATGCCATTATTTTACAATAACTCAGTTAATTTTTTATATGTCATACAATACTAACAAGAAGATTATTGAATTATTCTGTCATTTGCATAGTGTTTAGAGATCAGCATTCTATGATCAAACTCTACTGACGGAATATACCGTTACTTAAACTCGCATGCACAGTTTATGGTATATTATACCACCGTTTAACTTTATTATTAGCCTGTTCCAGGCTCCGAGGTAGTCGGGTCCGCTAAATTGAGAAAGCGCAAACACGAAAATAAAACGGGAGGAAACTGGGGAGACTTTTTCCTTTTTCCCACCCCGCCAACTTTTCGTGTGCCTTTTTTTTTCGCGTTTTTCCCACTGTCTGAGACCCTGGAACAGGCTACTTTAATATAAACGCCAATGGAATCAGTTTCCAATTGACTTCTTAATCCCAATTAGAAGGAATAGAGGGCTTAAAGATATATTTTGATAATAATATTTACATGGTATTACTGACTTACAGCGTTTCCCGTCCTCTAGTTGTAACGTGCAGTTCAACTTCAATCGACGCAAACAAGCTTACATAGGCCAAGATCCTTATACCAAGCCTGGAAAGAACAAAATTTGACTGTCAATGGGATAACCAGGTTAGGTAAGAGATAAAGTACGTCAAAAAGAAGAGAAGTGTAAATACCGTTATGAAATCACTAACAATTTTGAAATTATTCAGCTCTGTCTCAGTTTATTTGACAAAAACAAAACAACCTGTTCAAGTGTAAATTATGCATTGTACAAAACTGTTTTCGTGCCCAAAATACACGCTAAGTAATTTTAATGACTGAATGGCAACAATTGGTTATCAATATAATAGCAGTCGAACGGTAAGTCACGAGATTTATGACTTTTTTTGCACTTCTTTTCTTAATCTGGATTTTGCTCAAGTTTTCCGCCCGAGAAGCGCAAATTCCCGCTGCACATTAGGTTCTACAAAAACATTTCAAACAGGATCTCAATTTCTTTGACTTACTTTAAAAAATGCTCGCTCCGGCATCTCGCGTTACCCGAGAAATTACCATGCAGTTGTGTCGAGTTTGAAATTAAAGGATTAGTTTCTGGGATTTACCCAGGAGGACGGAATATTTCTTTATTTTACGTTTACCTACAATCACAGACAAAACTAGTTTGGAAGGTTGTACAATTTAACAGTACTCTATTTTAATACTCAAAAAAGAGAATTTTTCCTTTTGCTAAATATACCCCGTCCCCCCTATTCAATGTTGGGATATAACAGGACAATTACGCCCACAAACATTCGTTTTGCTCAACATTGGGCCAGAGGCGGGGGAGGAAGGAAAGAAAAAAAGAGGTAAAAACAGCAACCTTCCCAACACTTTTGACGATGATTGTAGTATCAGGTTGTTTTACAGGCTCTTGCTTCAAGGATTTTTTTCTCGGTTTTGAAGTCCCTCGCGAACTGGCCAAGTTCCTATGCTAAGGACAAGGGGTTTTTTAGAGGGCCAAACATTCTTGACGAAGGTGAAGAGGGTGGGGGAAGTTTGCAGATGCATCACCAGCTAGCCTGTGTACAGACGCTTCCCCCCCCCCTCCCTTCAGAAAAAAAATTCGGGTTTTTTTTCGAAG